TGCACCGCTGCCTGTCCGGCCCAGGGTCCCCGCGGAGACGAGCCCGCTGCTGAGCACGTAAGCTGAGCGGGCGACACGTCTGTTTTACGGTGTTTTTGTCAAAGCCGTGCCTCTGCTGAGCTGTTGAGTGGTTAGGAACAGCAGAATGCAAAGAAAGAAAGGTAAAGGAAGGTATCCGGGACATGTTGACTGTGGTGGGTTGTTACTGTTAGTGTTCTTGGGTTTATTATTATTATTATTATTATCAAAATCCTATCTGTTCCAGGTTTGGGTTTGCAAATACAGTGCTACCAGTGTGAGGAGTTCCAGCTAAATAATGACTGCTCTGGTCCAGAGTTCATCGTGAATTGTACAGTGAACGTTCAAGATACGTGTCAGAAAGAAGTAATGGAAAAAAGTTTTGGTAAGAATTTAGTAATTCTGTTTATTTCTCTTGGATGGCATTTGTTGCTTTTGGCTCCACCCATTCACAGTCTTAGCTACAGATGGATTTGGCGCTCCTGCCTAAAGCGACCAGGTTCAGTTTCTCATCCTTTTGAGTGACCTTGCAACTCAGTAGAGTTAATCATTTTCCTTTAAAACTGGTGTAAAAACTGAAGGATGCAAGTCAAATGTTGATAAAGCTGTTAATACACAGTCTTACGGGTCTCAGATTTAGTTTCCCAGCACTGGGAAATTAATAACAACAAGTTAGTTTAATCTCATTACAGTTAATTACATGGGTTTTTCCCCAAGAGATGGAAGAGCATTAAATTAGTAATTCCCTCCTTTCTTTTATTTAGTCTAGCAATTCATATACTCTGAAGGTTCATCTTAAGAGAAGTGTAGTCAACTTTGCTTTCATCCATAATAGAAAACATCAAGCAAAAGGGAGAGAAGGATAAAAAGGACATTCTTGGGAATTTGGGATGCAGAGATGGATGTATTTGCCATGCTCATTTTCTGAGCCTGAGGGGACTTTTCCCTCATTGTAATTAATATTAAGTTAGCTTATTTGGAGAGAAATGTGTTCAAGAGGAAACTAGCTGTGATTCTGCTTCTTGCCTCTGTTGTCTTTTGAGCTTTGCTATAAATTGCTTTTTTTAATTCAGCATCATGGAAGGCATTTGAGATTTAGAAAGATCTGTCTCAGTTTTTAGACCACCATGTAGCTCTGTAGCCATCTATGTGAATAGACGACTACGGCTTTATTCGGGGCTTCAGGGCTGGGTGGGGTGTGACAAAATGTGTTTGTGGGAGTTGGAGCTGGTGTAGCATCCTGCTCTGACTGCAGACAGCCATTCAGATGCTGGGCATTAGAAAGGGGAAGCTGGCAGTAACTCACTGGTGTGCCTCAGCGTCGGTGTGACCTCTGTACCCAGCGGTAGGCTTAAGGAGCCGAGAGCAGGTTGGGACTTCAGAGCCCTGACTGAAGGGGCAGCCGCTCTCTAGGATTGCAATCTTGCAACTGAGGGCAATGCTTTAGAGCATGGAGTTCACTGATGTGAAGGACTGTTATGCTGTTAACATAAATCTAGCTGTAGTCTGTCCTTCTCAGCGAGTCCTTCAGTAACAGCAGGATCCCTCTCTACACAGGAAATGTGTGCAGCCATCCGTCTTGAGCAGGAACACGGGTTCTTTGCATTAGGAAGCTATCCATTAGTATTTTCAAAGTGCTTATCAGTCAGCTAGTTCTGCTTGTGGTGGTAGTTTCAGATCACAACATTAGGAAGCATAGGAAAACGGTAATTGTTGTTACCTATCAATAGTAGCTGCACTGCTGGCAGTCTGTCTCGTCCTGGGTAACACCATCCACAGTGACTATTTCTGTAAAATATGCAGAAGTCCTCCAGTGTAGACTGAAAAGCTCTGTGTTTAAAAGATGATTAGTCTCTTATATTATTGGAGTATTTTATCTCCAGTTTACTTGGAAAGGGTGGTGAGGATGAGAGATCATTATGTCTTGCAAGGTGCTTTTAAAGTCAGAGTATCTCTAAATGAGTGTTTGAAGGCTTTGCTATCTCCACACCACAGCTTCTGAAGTACTTCTAATGGGTTGGAATGGATGCTGTGGCGATTTGAAGGGCTATCAACGTGGTATGTAGACAGACAAAAAAGTCAGTTCCTAATTTATTCCTAACAGTTGTTTGGTGTTGTTTGTTGATTGGGGATTTTCTTTTAATATCTCCCCTGGTTTCTTCATGTTTTAATTTCAGTATGACCTCAGACTGTGTCAGCCTTCCAGCAACGTATCTGTAATCATTCCTTCAGGTGAATGTTGGGATTGTTTTCAGCCAAGTGAACACCTCACAGGTCAGAGTGGGCATGCATGTGTGCGGACACACACCCACAGGTGTGTTCAGAGACAGCCACTCGTGTGCCACGCGTGTAGGACAGGGTGGTCAGTGGTGCACCTCATCTCAGACCAGCAGGTGAGATTGCAGTCTGGCCAGTGCCACTGTGGCACACTGAAAATATAAATGGAACTGTATTAATAGATTTAGACATGTATTGATGCATGACTTGTCCTTATTCCTATGAAGAAATTGGTTTGTGATATAGTAAATAAGGAGCTCTTCAGAAACTTCCATGGTTTTTTTTTCTGTGCAATTTTATATTGTCTCTGAGCAGATTCTTGGATTTTCCCGTTAGGAGGTAACTAGCATGCTGTGCATAGTAGGTACCACTGGTCTATTTTATTTAATTTATTTCTATAGATGCTGTTCTTATTCATTTTAAGCTTAGAGATTGTAAATTTCAGCTAGTGAATAAATTTAAATTTTCAACCTAACTATTTCAAATTGAGGGAGATTTACATTGCAAGATAAGTTCCTCTGTCATCCTCAGTCAATTCTAGAGGGGATTGGTTGTAAACCAGATATGATTCAGTTTATCATCCGTTATTGTTTTTATTTCTAATTGATGTTTAAATGTGTGTGATATAAATGCCTTATTCTCCCAAGTTTTATTTAATACTTCATTCTACTTTTACTAGTGTATTTAATAACTTTATTCTTTTGGTTGTTGCTTATCACTGAAAGCTGCAATGTTTCAAATATTGATTTTAATTTATAATAGACTTGAGTTTGAATTTTTAACCCAGAATATGAAAGATGTGAATTTGCATTTATTTGACAGCACAATCTCATAATTAGTTTTTCCTCTTGACTAGATACAGTCAAAGGAGCATAATTTAATTTTTATAGACTAACCCATTTTTGTCCTTAATAAAATATAGCTGTGTCAGTGAGCAAAATGCTACAAGTTCTCCTAAACCTTATTTAAAAGTTAAGTGCAATATTTTGAGATAAAGTTCATGGTCTGAATCATTAACCTATTGATGTAGTCACCCTTCCTGTGCAGTATGCATTAATCTGTGTGTTTGTTTTGGTATCAAGGGGGCCACTGACTTACATTCTGCAGTGTGCCTACAATGTAGTCCCCACCTTGCAGCCAGTGACTTTTTTTCCTTACATATTTGTTAGTGTTCATTGGGCTGTGTGATGACAGCTCTATAGTTCAGCTTCATTTCTGTATTAAACTTTATATAAGCTATGTAGTGGAGAACTACAACTCTGTGCAGTTTTTTTTCATTTATGTTGTAAATAGTTCCTTACGCCTGATCATAGTTAAACAAACCACTCCTCCTCAGTTGCTATAAAATTAGGGTTAGTGCTTTAAATGTCACCGTGTACTCTCAGAATGTTATCTCAGTTTCTGGAGAACCAATCCTAGGAAGTACTTTTCGGCTTCAGGTGAGAAATAACAGCAGCATAGGCACGTTCCTAACCCAGAGCTTAAAAAGTGGTTGTTGCTGCGACAGCCTCTGATGTGAGTAGCTAGGAGCTCAGGCATTAGTCACTAATACTTTGAATTAGGTTGACAGGCATGTTATCCCAGCCGTTGTAGTATCGGGTAGAAATTTGCTCCATTCCACAATTTAAAATTAATTGAGAATTGAGCAGTGCATAAGCATGTATCTTATTAAGTGATTAGGTGGAGCTAGTATAATTCTGCCTCCCCTGCATACATGCACCTTGCTAGGACAGTTTATATTTCAGTTGCACTTCGGGGATCTGTCAGTGCACAGAATTGGAGACTGTCAAGTAAGTGACAAAATAATTTTCTCACTTTAGCAGAGTTGTATTTAAAAATTTTGCTAGAACAAGTTTTATGCAGTTAACATTCTGTTCCGGTGGGAGATACAGAAGGACGAGACAGTATTTTGCCTGCCATGAAAAATCTTACAAACTAATTTGTTAACTTAATCTTAAAAAAAAAAAACCAAAAAACAACAACAACAACAAAAAAAAACGAGTCAATGCTTTCTTCATTTAGAGGGAAGAATAGTGAGAATGGGCAGTGGCAGTGAATCACAGAATGTTAGAGATTGAAAGGGACCTCGAAAGATCATCTAGTCCAATCCCCCTGCTGGAGCAGGAAGACTACACCAAGTAATTTTTGTCCCATAGAAATTCATATAAAGGATATGCTTCTAGTGGATATGCTTCTTCAACTGGATAAGCAGGTGTTTGAAAACTGTGTAAATGAAATGTTTGACAAAGGATGAAAGTTCTTGCTTATAATAATTCCACTTGCAGATGCTTTGTGGAAATACCCATGGCTGATTCCCCTCTCCCACTTGCCTCTCTCTTCCTTGTCTATGAACTTTTAACTTAGAAATGTTAGTGCTCCTTCATTTTTAGAATATATGTAGGAACAAAGAAATACCATGGTATATTGGGATCAGTTGAAACATCTTGATGACATGTAAATGAGTATATAATGTATGTATGCTTTTATACATATATCATAGAAAACATACTGATAATGAAGTTCACCTTTTACTGAAGGCAAGACCTATCTGAGCATAAAGGCTGATCTAAAACCTACTTAAGGCAAAATGAGACCTGCAATGTGAATAGAGCAGAAAGGAATAAAGCATGAAGGGTGGGACAGCCAGCCCAGAAAGACAGCCAGTTTAAATGTGTCAGAACTCACTGTAAGTAAACCTGCCCATGTATATGTTATGAACAGTACACCTTGCGCTCTGATGTAGTTGTGAACATACTTCTACAAACTTACTTTTGCAAGGGGAAAAAAACCAGTAGCAAGAGTGAAATTTTAAAATGTCCGTCTATATAAAACTGAGATTGTTTATCAGTTTTCCTTTGCAAGTGAGTTGGGAAACAACCTCATCATTTCTATTAATCTGCAAAAAGAAACTTCTCTTATTTGCTTGGTTTGCAATGGTCCTTTTAAGGTATTTACATAGTATATAATCCTGCAGTGTAATTAAAGTGATTGCTGTAATTGTGTGCTTAAAAGTGGTACATGGGAACATCCTGAACAAGATC